ACCCATAGCTACTGAAGACTAGTTTTTGCTCTCTGCTATGAAACTCCCCAAAGGTATTTAATTTATGCTACAGCAAGAAAATGTACATGGGACTAGACTTGAAAACAATCCTAGAACATGCATTAAATATCTCTGGTTTTTCCTTAATCCTTGTCAAATAACAATTAATTTATGACTCTCATAAACAGCAGAGGACTAAATACCTCCCAGAACTGTCATCAAGCAATAAACTGAGTTCACAACATTTTGAATTATCTTACGCACGCTGACAGTTGTACTGACATGTAAGAGCCCATCTGATCATCAGTGCCAAAACTAACACCACTTCAGCTGATCTAGATGAGAGCTGGTTTGATGAACAGTGCTGACTGAGATGACAACAGTTTATGCTTTTTCCTGTGCAGAGCAGTTTTTATGTGAGAATCAGCAAGGAATATGATAACTTACTAGCTGAGTTTGTCCTGGAACCAGTTATATATCTTACTTGATGAATTACTTCAAAAAAAAAAAAAAAGAGCAATAAATTCTGAACCCAAGAGAAAAGCTGGAGGGTTAAAGATGAGAGGAAGGGAAAAGACGAGGGGAAAGGAGATGAAGGAAAACAGAAGCAGGCAAGAACCTCTCTCAGGAAAACAGGCATGGAGATCAAGATCTCAGCTCTGACTGTCATGACTCTATCCAGACACCAGAGAATGCAAATGTAGAACACAGAACTAAGAGAAATCCACATCAGGCTGCCAATTAGTTCACACACCATGTCCAGGCAAGCCTGGAGAGCAACAGCGGTCAGTACCTGGGCTCAAGGAACAAAACCCCAAATCCCACATGAACATACTCCAAGCAGGAGCTTCCGCCCATCCCACAGATGTGGATGTGTGTGGTGTGGGCATGCAAGATCACTACAAAAATAAAAAAGCAGGACTGGAAAGATAGTTTTGTCCACCCTTTATGAAGAAATGGGAAATTCCATTAAAAAACATGAAAAAACTTACATACTGCTTCTCCAAAGCATCAAAACAACCTTGAATCCTGCCAGGGAAAAACATGTTAGTACTAGCCAGCGATATTTATCTCCTGATCTGTAAACATGCACACATTAGATACAGATTAAAGTGCTTTTTTTTCTGGAATTAAGACAACACAACTAGCAACATTTTGGGCTTGTAAAGTCCTTTACAGGTCAACCATCACGAAAGCACTGTGCTCCCTTCTGCATTTGTGCATTGTTTATACTTGTAGGGCCAGATCCTGTCAGCCTGGAGCCCGCTTAAATCCTGACAAAGACAAGGCTTGGCAGCCTAAGCCTGGCTCTGAGTGCCTCTGCTCAGCGCTCCGGTTTGGCTCCCCAGCTTGCTCAATGGCTCTTTTCCCACTGGCCTCGTCCAGAACTTGGCTGAAAGTTCAATCTGAGCGCAGCCTGACATGTCTGCTCTTGTAAATTTTTGGTTATCTGATGCATAGTTTACAGCTATGGACTTTCTCAAAGTAGTAAATATTATTTGAGGGAGCAATGGCCAGATATTTGCTCTTTTGAGTCAAAGGATGTGCAGCTCAGTATCTCCTTAGCACATCGCAGTCAGACTCTCTGCTTGTTGGGAACACGCCAACTCTGAAATACAGCCTAAATATCACACAAAAAAACTTGTAAGGTACTTAGACACACAATAACCAGAGAGATAAAATATTGCACACACTAAAAACCAAGCTCCAAGAATCCCTATAAAAGGGAGGCTAGAAAAGACTAAACAGCAAGAAAATCAACCTCATTATTTTCTTTACCCTCTCTCTGTACCTGCGCTGCCCGTGTGTGCTCTGGGGCCTGACCGTGACCTCACCACAGCCAACACTTCAAAAGGCCTTGAACTCACATGATCCTGGTCAGCTAATTCTGTCCTGCTTACGCACAGGGCCAAGCACGCACGCTGCAGCAGCGGGAGCTGCACTGGCACAGCCGATAGTGCTAGTGGGCACAATATTTTCAAATTCAGGAAGAAGAAGAATGCGAGGGCTAGATGTCTTGCTATTCAGCACAATCTTGTCTTAGTTTCGCTGTTACTCACTTACCACTTGACTATCTGCAATGATCCCAGACAGTTTTTATCTTCTCGGAGAATTTTTAGACAGAGGTCTGCAAAACCAAATTTAGCACATAGTTACAATCCTTATCACAGCTGGTGGGCAAACACTGAAACTAAGCCAGGCGCTCGCCGTTGTTTGGATACAATGCTTTATCTGGAGGTCCTTCCTGAGCGGAAATGTTGGGTTTCCACCGAGTCCCAGGTGGGCTGACACAAGCTTATTTCTGCATTTTCAAAATGTCAAAACTTTCCTCAGATGCTCTGGGCTCTCCCTGAAAAAGCACTAGAGTTATGGTTTAATTTCAAAAACCAGCAGCTTCTGTTCTCACCCCTCTCCTCTTCTCCACCCCATCTATTCCACCATTCCCTGACACCTTCACTTCTGCACGTGGACTTCACCAACATCCGTACCACATAAATGACTGTGCACAGAATAAACTGCTCTGAAGCTTTTCCACACAGTTCCTTCTGCCTCTGTTTTCAGGCATTCAGAATGCATGAGGAAACCCATCCTGCACATGAAGAGGTTAATTAATAACACCTCAGGATTCAACCAAGGAGCCCTCAAAGGCATGCGGACACCGGATGTTAACATTCTTGATCAAAAAGGCACTTGAAAGATCTGACATTCGATTAGAAAGACTAGTGGTTTTCCAGGGTTAGGTGATCAAGAGGCAGTTTGGGATTTCCTGTGCCTCCAAGCAAGTCCACAAAGTGCACGTGACCATGTTTCAGGACAACGAACTGTGTAAGTAAAAACATGGAAACAGCCTGGAAAGCACAGAAAGACATTTCACACCCTCCCAACACATCCTGAATGAACATAAAGATATTGACGAATCAAAGAACCACTAATTCTTGTGATCCTATGACAAGATTTTGCTTCTTTAAGTTCTTTTTTTTCTTAAAGTTCTGATTCCCGAGCACAGGTGGTTATGTGAGACGGTTTTCACAAAAAAACCCAAACCAAAACAAACCCCAACAAACCACCAAAACAAACCCCAACAAAACAAACAAATCTACTTTCAGTCTCACAAGGAAAGCTGAAAATGTGAACCTCAAGGGCTCAGAAATCCAAAGGAAAACCAAACACACCAATCAGAGTTAGTTTTTAAAAACTCACTGATTTTTAAGTCAATCTCCTGACCCTGGGGCCTGATTCACAGAGCTGGCAACACTGAGGAATTATTATAAACCGAAAGAAACACTAACGGAGACACCATGAGTTGCCAATACCTCCGGGTTGTCCTCTGTGCTCTCTCTGATGCAGAAGCACTGTCTGCATCCAGACTCGAGAAGGCCTGTTAGCTAACTTCCGAATAAACTGAACTCACACATAAAGAGCAGCTGGAAGCTAAGATGTAAAGCAGATTATAGCTAAAATATAGCAAGTAGAAATAAGAATTCAGTGCAAATTGAAAGTGTTACCATCTAAATAGCGAGTTCCGTAAGAGCTCTCGGGGAACAGCCCTCTCATGTACGTTATACAGGACACAGAGATGGCCAGAAGCCTTTTCACCAGCACCACAGACTGCTGCTCAGTAGCAATTTTGTCGGGGAACAACACTGATTCCTAAAAGAGAAGGGCAAAGTCAAAGCCAGCACTGTTTTAGTGTAACACAGGGATTACATTTAGAAATGACTCTCAGCAGGTGAAAAACGAGAGTCAGGCAGAAACATAATTTTAACATTTATCTGGTCTTCATACTACATGGAGAAGACTCACATCTAACATGGGTGGGATTAAATGTTTTAAAGTTAGTTATCAACAGATCTGACATGATTTACTCAGAAGCAGACTGCATTGGTCATTCCTTCCCCTTTTATCATGGCTGAACATTCCCACCCCCACCACTGCACCAGTGCTGGCACTCACCAGACAACCACTCCTAAAAAAAAAAGTCTATAATTTTCCGCCAGTTTAGCTCTGCAGAGTTAATTGCGGGGTCAAACAAGTGCCATTGCTGGTGTGGCATTCACTGCTCTGCCAAAGCTCACTGCCTGCCACAGCTTTGTTTGAGATCTGACAGCAGACAGAGCCTGTCAGCACTTACGCAGACCTAGTTTTTAGAGTGATTTTAACACCGAGCTGCAAACACTAAATGTCTACGGTTGGAGCTAATGCAAATACTAAACACTGCGTGATTTTAACATGAACGAGCTCAGTGGAAAGTATACTCAATTTAGTTCCTCTATTAGTTGCTTTTCTTCCTGCTAATAAGGCTCTGTGCACACCTAATGAGTCTTCATTTATTTAGTCAAATACATGACCCCCGTGCTGTATCTTCCTGGACTCACTAAATTGAAAATCATCCAACTAAGAAGAGTGCAGACAAAAGAAAGTGTTCCCACCTCATCAGGCACAGACGTGCCAGGTCCAAAACTGAGAGCTAAGATTGTCAGTACCACCATGTGTCAAGGTTTTTACCTTAGAGGACTTTTTCTTTTGCCTTGTCTGTAAAAGCTGAGTAGCCATCCTCTGTTTCAAAGACCTGCCTTCCACTTGTAATGAAAACCTGGGGGGGAAAAAAAGACATGAGGCACCTGGAAAATACAGAGTCATTGCTATTTCTCATCTTCCTTAAACTAAGAATGAGATTCTCCAGCCTTATTCAGGCCTAAAAGCTAACTGCCAATCAGGACAGCTAAAGCGAAGCAAACCAAGGATACTCTATGGCACTGTCTGAGAGTCTGCAGAGCACAAAAACTCCCTGTTCACCGGTGAACGATCAATAGTATTTGAAATTCAGAGCCATAACTGTACCTGGTGTCAGCCAGTGCCACTTCAAAATGCATTTCTCATATTCCAGAGCACAAATGTTAATTCCTACAACCATTAAAAAGTGTGAAGGGGGAATGTGAAAGAACTGGAAGTCTGCCAATAGCAGCCAATATTTTAGCAAGGGTAAGCAGGAAACGTACTAACATCAATCTTGGCCGGAATAAAGGAATGATTCTTCTGGGACACCTTGAAAGGAAAAAAAAAAAAAAGAAAAAAAAAAGAAGAGATGTCCACATTGTTTCAATGAAAGTAGGCCCTGTTAGACAAGCCTGGATTGAAGAGGAAAATCTTTTTACAAGAACAGAAAGCTGATTGATAAAGGCAATAATGTGGACATTACATGTTTTGTACTTTGGTGAGGTGCTTGATTTAGCACCATCTGACATCTTGATTAAGAACTTCCATTAGAAGGAATTAACAAGGCACACGTTAACTGGTTTGAGAAACCGCTCGCTGGGAGATCTCAACATGTAGCTGCTAACGGGGAGACGTTAATGAAAGGAAACACCACAAATGGGTCCCCGGAGGAGCATTGCCTTGTCCGCAGCTAGTCAATATTTCTATTAACAATTAAAATAATAGCACAAACATGGTTTAAATCGTGACCTAATGCAATGAGGAGCGGCCTTTTATCACAACAGTTGATATAATCTTGTTCTGCATTTGTACCTTTTCAGCTTTTTTCCAGGAAAGCCTCATTTCCATTTGTTGGCAGTCATTAAAACATGTTGATTGGAACACGTTGACAGCTTTTATGCTAAATTTAGCACTCCATTTAGTAATGAGGACATATTACAGCTATAAAAGCATATTTAAACAAATATACACCTGCAAAATTTTTAATATGCTAAATATTTTAGGAAAAGTACTTTTTTAACTCATGATTGGCAAAGCGCTGTGAACAGGACTGGAATGCAATGAAAGCAGACAAAGACATTATTCCAACATGAGGTTATTAGCTAAATACAGCTGATTTAAGCCAGCCAGAGAGATAAGAAAACATGTTTTCTACAACATGTTACACCTGTAACTGATTTATTGTGCAAACGAAGCACCACCTAGGCTGAGCTTATCGCCTCCGACAGCTTGTCTGGGTGCAGGGCACCCTCCGGGCCTTCCCCCTCACCTCCACCAAACCTGAGCTTGCTCCTGGATTTTGGGAGGACAGAAGGCCCCTGGCCTTCCCCCAGCCCTGCTCCGAAGCCACTTTATCCCCCAGTACCAGGAAACCAGCGTTAACTGGGAGAAACCAGCCCCCGCCTGCCCTGCACCCCAGCCCTGCCCAGGGCCTCCCCTCAGCCCCGCACACCGCAGAGCCCCGTGGCGATGGTGGGAGGCTGCGGCAGGCCCTGAGAAAGCGGCCGGGGCTCCAAATAAGAGTTTTAAGAGTATTTTGGGGGTTTTTTGTTGTTGTTTCTTTGAGATGAAGCTCAGGCCCAG